CAAAGGTCAAAAGAGTTTCTAGTGACAGCACTCCGTGAACCAAGTGGAAGCGTTCCCACCGCCAGCATTTGTGACAGATGTCCGGCGGGAATTTGAACGCGTAGCAGTCCTTCCAGTTTTTCGAACTGTTTACCAAAACAAATGCAATTTTTGTTCTTGTTTTCGTGGACAGTAGGTCTCAAGCCAGTGGATGGGTGAGATAGGATTATGATTTTTCCGGGAAAGATTCCTTCAGCACCAACACGGTACATTGCCATTTGGATCAAATGGATTTCTTGGATGCTTGCATTGCCGCCTATTCGTTTTTTTTTCTGAAATCGTTCTCTCTCGCTGTACAGCACAATTTCAAAGGTGGCTTTTTCGCCACTGGGACCTTGATCGGATTTGCTGTTTAGCTCGACTGAAAAGTGATAATTTTTTCTTATATGTGCAAGTCTTTAAGCTTTCCTACAGTAAAAGTTGAAATTGGATAAAAAGGGAGCCATAAGAGCCATGTATGATATAAGCAGATGCTTTCCGAACAGACAAAAAACACAGTATGTGATGATTTCCAAAACAGTGAGAACTCATTCGGTAAAGAAATCAAACTAGAACGAAAACACTCACTAGCTATCACAGAACTCCCCTTTTTACTGGTATACGACTTAGCTTCTTGGAACAGGGTTCGTCGTGTTGTAGAGGAATTGATCCGGTTACTTCAACCTCCCCTCCACGAAAAGTTCAGGTCCCCTCTTTTCCGCCTGTTTTCGTCCCTATCAAAAATTCCTTGATCCCATCCATCATTCTACTTGGAGCAGTGAGAAGGCTTTTAATGCATGACCTCGGAAGTTTCATCAAATTGAGCAGAAAATGTAATTCCCGGTGTCCAGCGACCCAGTATCAATGGGAAAACGTACTGATAAACAAGGTTTTTGTGTTCCACCTGGCCATTGAGTGGGATCAGTTGATCGACACCGTCTACCTGCAATATCCAAAAAGGTCGATTTAATTAGCGCTCAGGTGAACCAAGTGTCTGCCTACAAACTCACTCTGCATCCAGTGATTTCGACTCGGCCTCGGGGTTTGCATACCTTCTCAAAATATTTGTTCTCAACCCACTTCTCGCCTAAATTCTCCACTTATTCGAAGACTGTACAAAATCTCAATTATTCAAAAGTGATGAATTGATGCGTCTGCGTGTACCTTGATTCCTTTGCTTGCCCTCTCCATCCTTGCATTTCGCGTCAACCGCTCGGTCAATGGCAGCCATGGTTATTGTGCCGTTGGCGTGCTTCCTGCATTCCATTTCAAAGCCATCCACCTGCAATTGCAACTTTTCAGCTCAGGTAACTGAAGCTGCTGATGAGCAATTTCTCAATACTTCCTTAATCCCCTTCGTCCTCTCCTGATATGAACATTATCTATTACTCAAAAGCAGATTTTTCTTAAACACCGTCTGCCTTGATCTACTCCCAACAATGTAGCCAATTAATGATGCAGAACCTAATTGCATCAGTGCTCTATAACACAGTTATCCTAAGAGATTTTAATCTTAATAGCTGTTTTTTTTTGGTTATCAAGGTTTGAACTGCTGCAGTGGTGTATTGGCAAGTGGCAGGCTTAAAACGCGCGCGGTAGACAGACACACGGATTTTATCCAAAATTGTGAAAAAATGATGAAGAAACTTTGTGTAGTGGTCTATCCAGCATATTTTATGAAACAACGATTACAAACTGCTATAAATGCTCAATTACAAAACGTATAGTGCAATGAAATCGGGAAAAAAGGCAAAATTTTTTACAAACTTTGTAATAAATGTTCAAAAATTAGTTTTTCCCGCGTAAAATGCTCTATTTAGGGTTTTAAAAAATTGTACATTACATGGCAGGTCCTCGTTGCAGGCCACCCGGGATCAAATCCTGGGTCGTGAGTCGCCCGGGCCAACCAAGCCTTCCATCCCTCCGGGGTCGGTTAATTGGTACCAGACTTGTCTGGGAGGATAAAAACACTGACTTGTACATCGGCTGGCCCCCGCAAGTCATTGTATAGGCCAAATCGCATTCAAACGTAGCTACGAATGCGAAAACTGGTGAGGGATAACCACATGAAAAGCCACATGAATATGAAATAGCCTGATATTCAATTTCCGATTCACTGATTTGCTGCTCACTCGTCTTGAAGCAAGCCAAGATAAGGTCGTGTCGAAGAATCTATCCTATGTGGGATAGAGTAGCCCACGAGAATCACAGATGTGCCGTTGTCGCGGCTCGAAAGTGCGCGACAATGGCGCTAGGGCCTTACAAAGTGATCTGATGGCGACTAATGTGAACTTATGGACGAGCACCCCGTGGTACGCAGCGTGGATTACGCCGTAGCGCTATTTCAAATACGCGCGAGTTGGTGGAGCCGTGGGGCAAGCAAGTTCAAACACTGAAATCTGGGCGTACTCCTGCCTCATTTCAAGGGGGAAACAGGATATACTTGTTGATGGCTTCATCGGCGGTACGCTTTGGTCCTTTTCCATTATCAATAATGGCGGCATCCACATTCTCATTATCGACGCTGTTACCTCACCAATTTGATATGGAGGTTGTTGCTTCAACTGTTTTTTACGGCGTTCCCTAAAGCACAACATAGGTGCAGGAACATGGATGTTCTAACTCAGATGACCTTACGACTATCACTTCCAGAAAGAATC